TGACTTTGTAGGAACGGACTATTTTCAATGCGCATGCGTCTGACGTCCTTCTGATGATCAGATTCGCTGTTGGAACAAACCTATTTACAACTACGTATTCGCTAAAGTTAAGAAAAAAACTGTTATCAGAATTTTTAGAACTAAACTTAAATTATTTTCCAATATTGTCAAAATTTCCTTAGTCCGGTCAGATCGTGGATTATGATTATATTATCCACGATTGTGGATTTTATAACTATCTATGATAATTAGACCTAGGAATATATGCACCCAAAAAGTAGTTAAATATGCGCATATATATGCCGCAAAATACTTCAATATACGCGTAAAAAATTGAAAAATATGCAGAGCATATGCAATAAGAGTAATTTGTTATTTGATCGAAATAGTTTATTAATATTTATTATTTGTTTTATTTTACAATACCTAATATAATACTTAATAATTATTTAATTATTACCTAATTTTATTTACAAATCAACATTATTATAAAACGAATGAACAATTAGATGTTTTTCTAAATTATCTGTATTAAATGATTGTCTTCTATCAGTAAGTATGTACTTGTACAAAGAAAAACTCCTTTCGACATCTACAGAAGGTGCAAACTTAAATTTTCCTGAAATATCTGGATGAATAGTATTAATATCTTCAAAGTTACCAGAATAAATATTAGCAAGGTTCCTTAAAACAATAAATCCTTCATTTTTTAAAAGTACATTAGAAAATTTATGAAAAATCGTCTTTCCAATATCGCCCTGGACATTTTTACACTCTGATTCAAACTTCTTAATGAAATTTACGGAAGTCACCAAAGGTAAATTTTTTTGTTCTAAATCTAATACAATTTTGGGTACAAATGCATAATTTTTTAAAAACACTAATTGCCTTGGTAATATGTGATTTCGAAACAACTTCTTTGTATTAGATATTCCCTTAGATGAATCATCAAAATCAAATATGATTTCTTTAATTTTTTCATAATTGAGGACCTTGATGCAAAAAGGGGATGAGTCACTATTTCAAAAATGTTCAAAAAAACGATTTTTATTTTATTATTTTTATTATTAATATTATTACTTTATATTATTAAAAACAAATAGTTTTGGCAAAAAAATGAGACCTGGGGTAATTTACTGACAGAAAAGCTGCAAAAATTTTGAATTTTGTTTATTTGGTACAAGAACGGGATAAGTCACAAAAATAAAAATTTACGAATAGTCAAGATATTACATATTAAATTACATTATTATACAGAGAAGGTATCTTCGTCTCCATCTGTGCCTGAATTATTATTATTTTCGAGGGGATCATTAGTACTTTTTAAATTGTAATAAAATGCCAAATCAGATTTTGGTACGTACTCTGTGGCCAGTTGCATAACATTTTTAAATTTTGCATCCTTAATGGGCAACAAGGCATTATAGCAAGTATTTTTTTCTGTAAATTGGACAGATTTTTTAAAATTCAGTAAAGTAAATTTCTGAAATAGTAAAGATCCACAAGCTGTCTTGCTACATTGAATTTCATCTGAAAGTTCTGAATACAAAAAAACTCGGTAAGTAGAAACAGCAAATTTTTCCTTATTAGGATTTTTTGGCACTTGGAGAGAAAATTCCTTTACAAGAGAACAAAAATCATAAATCATATTTTGCGTAACAGTTATAACTTTAAATTTTAACGAAGCTTTTTCAACTAATTTGTGATATTCCTGGGGTAAGTAAATACGTTCCACCAACCTTTTTTTCTTTTCAATAATACCGAATGATCTGTCACAAGGTAAAAAGCTGTGACCAGGTTCAGGAAATCTATGTATTATGGATTCAAATTTTTGTATTTTGCACAACCCTGCCAAGTAACGGACCATTACATTGTTTTTATTTTGCGCACAGCAGTTGTCCGAAAATAAGTAAAGCTTCTTAACACCTGGGCTTAATTTGTTCGTAATATAATGATGTAAGAAACTGATAACTTCATTGGCTCCCTTTTTTGCAGTTGTTTCGTCATACATGTAAAAATGAGACGACTTGTTTTTAGCGGAATGAATACAAAAATTGTACATCCACAGCTGTCGTAGGTAGAATGCATCTGTAGATGGCACTTTTGGTAGTGGCAAATTTTGTTGAAAATCGAAGCAAAGGACCTCAATTTCTTTATATTTCTCGGCTTCTTCTGTACGCTGTTTTAATTCTTTATAAAACCATTCGGATTTCTTTAAATGTACATCTTTTTCAGCTTTTATTGCATTTCTTTCTTGCTTATCTAAAGTACTTTTAAACTTATTATCCAGTAAGTCACATTTCTTGCAAGTATCTGTTCTAGATCTACCAAAACTATAGTTAAAGTTTTCTTTAAAGTATCTAAAGTAGAAATCGTATGTTATAAGTGGTTTGTTACGTTCGCCTCTTTGGAGAAGTTCGTAGCAATGGTTTTCGTATTTTTTTAAATAAAGCTGGTGCATGATTTTAATATTTAATTCAGGAGATAAATAAAACTTGGCACTTTTTCCGCGACCGTAATGCGACTCCCTTTTTGGGAACGATCTGATGTGATCATTTAATTGTTGAATGATATTTTCAGGAATCATATTTGGTCTGGTAAAATGCTTTCCCCGTTTATCAGGCGGGGGAGTTATGTTTGTCGACATGTGATTGCATATGCGTTCCAATCTTTTTTTTCCAATTCCATGTAATCGAACCAATGCTGTCTTACACACGATTATTTCAAAACCAGGCAACTTCACCTACAAATTTATCAAAACTAGGTACAAAAAACACGAATAATTGATGTAAACTTACCTTGTACTTAAAACTGTATGTGCGGTTCTTGGGATTTAATTTACGTGGTCGCGTTTTCTTTTTATGGTCAACAGAAATTAGATGGGCCAAATAGGAATCTTGTTTCTCTGGGTCACCCAATGCATTAAACGAAACCATAATTTCCAAGCGTTTATCAGCGGATAGCTTATCAAAGCACGCTTTTTTGCAGCCACAAGCAGCGCCTTGCTGTCTAGCTGCAACCTCTTGCCCTCGAGTTCCAACATAAGCTTCGCCTCTTGCTCGTTTAGCTTTTCTTATATTTCTTTGCCAGTTTTTAGGGTTTCTTTTCTTCTTTCTTCCCCTATTTTCAAGATTTTCGTTATTCATTTCTTCATTTACCACTTCTGAGCCTGCTGTAGAGGTCACACTCTCTGAAGTGCTAGCACGGTACTCACTGCCAGAGTCTTGGAATGGTTCGGATTTATCCGAATCGTAACTCGATCGCAACATTGAAAACACGTGGTCGCAAGATGGAAACAACTACACTCATGCACTGATTACTTTGTACTGGCACTACTAAAGCACCAAGCCCAAAACAATGCGAAATCCCGCGCTAAAAATATGGCGAATATAATCAGACACGCCCACTTCAAGACAACATTAGTTTGGTGCAAAAACGGGATAAGTCAACGCGACTTATCCCGTTCTTGCTCAGAATTTGTGTCGGAGACGAGTCAAAACCGTTAATAACTTTGTTGTCTATGGACGCACTAGTACCTTTCTTGCACCAAACAAACGATAATCTTTTAAAGAAGCGCATGCGACACGTATCTCTCTTTTGAAAAAATAGTGACTTATCCCCTTCTTGCTCCAAGGTCCTCAATTATCTGCGTAAAAAAGGCAGCTATCAGCCAAGTACCCCACCGAGTAATCACAGGTTCCGGTGGCATCTGTAATTCAGAAAATTTTTCTTTGTACAATTGAGTTCTTAGAGGAGCTCTAAGAATTTTTTTTTTACATTACTAATTAAATCATTTATTAAAGGAAAGTTAGACCTAATTTCTTCTGCAACTCTGTTAAGGACATGAGCCAAACATGTAACATGGATTAAGTTTTCATAAAACGTTTTTAAATTTTGTGCGGCTTTTACCATGTACGGGACAGCATCGGATGACAGCAATAAACATTTTTCTGTTGGAACGGCTTCCGGAAGAAAAGGGGAAGACAATTCTGTCTGGATAAAACGAGTTATTGTCAAGTTATTTGTTTTATCTAATTGCTTTGAAGCGATTAGATATGGACCAATTTGCGTTTCTTCGCGTAATGAACCTATCATTAAATGGGGTATATATCGACCACAAGTGTCTGTTGTTTCATCCACAATAATGTAGAAATGGTTTCCAACGGTAATCTCATGAATTTTTTCACGAGTCTCAATGTACAAACTGTCAACACCACGATTTGAAACTTGTTTTTACATGGAATCTATAAAACAAATAAATTCCTGTAGATGTTAAAGTTTTAATTAAACTAAATAAATGCGTACGTTGTAAAGTTGCCCTACTTTTTTTTAACTGGGAGTTGAAATAATATTTTACTGTCGTTTGATTTACCATTGTGAAAGGTCAAAATAAATTATAAAATAAAAAAGTACTTACAATTTTAGAACATGTTTTACAAAACACCTGGTTATCACCTTCTACAACAAAATCTGAATAAGATTTTACCCACGACTCAATTAATTTTGCCATTTTTTCCACTGGTTAACACAACACAACAATAAAGACTGAAATGAAGTTGAAAGTAAACTAAGTCATTTAGAAATTTGAAGATATTAATACAACTACCTGAAAGGATATTTAGCAAAATTTGTTGGTTTAAGGAGGGTTTATAATTTATTCCTCTCAAATACCTACACCATTAACCGTAATTTATTACAGGGAAAAGTTAATCCTTCAAAATTTTAGGAAATCGACCTGTAAAGGCATTTCACAAAATATTATTTTGGTCCAAAACTAATAATTTTAATATGTCCAGCCAATTAGTAAGTCAGATATATGCCAAAAAATTAACAAAATGTCAATATATGCATTCAAACTCAAAAATTGTATATATATGCAACATATGCAAAATATGGCGTTTTGCATATATTCCTAGCTCTAATGATAATAGATACTTTATGTATTTCTTATCAAAAACATTATTCATCTGTTATATAATATGTGGTAGATAAATGTTTATTTTTATTTATAGGCTTTTGGACATATATCGGGAGCTCACTTAAATCCAGCCGTCACCTTTGCTGCGGTGTTTTTGAAAGTTGTGTCACCTCTCATGTCAATCGTATATATTTCAGCTCAGTTTTTTGGAGCTATACTAGGATTTGCACTTTTAAAGGTGGGTATATCGTCTGAAATATTTTAATAATGTATCTTATAAATGCGTCACCCGTGTAGTAATTTTTAATGACTAATTTGATCTAGTAAATTAGTCGTCCCAAATAGTATAAGGCCTTGATTAATATTCTGCTATTTTCGTTTTTGCAAAATTTCTAGAATATTTTACAATTCGATTCGGCATAATGATGGTATTATAAATCAATTGATTGAAACCGTCGAGCTAAAGCTCTCAGGCTCTAATCAGATTATTAATGCTAAAATCATGACTCAAATTGATATTAAAATATTCTCGAGATTTAGACAAGACAAGGTCTTGGTATGTTACCATTAATTATTTTTTAAATGCCTGTAATTGACGCTGTTGCTAATTTTCAGAAATTTTTTAAAATCTACGTAAAATATATACTGCGTTTCCAAAATTTCTGTTGTTATAACTTTGTTATTATTTTTTAAAGAAAATTTGTTTCCATTAAGACGCTCTGTTAATCACACATAAAAAGTACCTACTAAACATGGAATTTATATTTCTTAGATTTTGATGCCTGCCGACTACTGGGTAGAAGGATTTTGTATGACATTGCCTCACAAATTGATCTCTCCCATGCAAGCTTTAGTCATAGAAATCATCATCACTACCACTTTGATCATTGTTGTGTGCGCTGTATGGGATAAAAGGAATGAAGCCAACCAGGACTCAACTGCTTTGCGATTTGGTTTAATCGTTGCCGCCATATCTATGGTTGCAGTAAGTATTCTTCTTTTTTCTTTTACAGTTTTATAATTGTACTGCTTTATCAGAACATTTATCAGAATATTTGTCTATGCAACGTACAAAATATAAAAAAATATAAGAAATGATTCGAAAGTATTTAAAGTGTGTAGGTAGAGTTTTATTAATAATAATACTCAGTAATATTAGTCTTAGCGCTTTCAGCCTGTTAGGCCATCATCAGAGACACTACAAAGAGAGAAAAAACGGAGCTATAACAATATAATCAAATCGTGATATTCCTGAACATTGAATAAAAAATAATACATCTTAAAAACTTACTCGTCAATAAATGTAGAAGAAGCATGAAAATTAATCTCTAGATTAAAAAAGGGGTTGCCACAATACGGTCCCTGTTATCCACCATAACTTGAGGCTGGTTGCAATTTAAGAAAAAACATGGGGGCTCATCCCAACACGTAGAAATAAACAATCTCACCCATTCAAAGGTAGAGAAAGATTAAAAAATGTACTTCGGCATGAAGCCAGCTGACCCTTCCAAGTCGCTGCCGAGAGGCGGAGGCAAGTTGGGGCACAAGAAGTCGTAGAACGTTAGCGAAAATTCGGAAAAAACGGAAAAAGTACCCATCTTGACAGTGCCAAAAGGAACTGAGTGACAATTGACAGTTGACAATGAAGTTGTCAAGACAATTGCCAACTTGAAAAATAGAAATGAATTTCATGAGAAATGATCAAAAGTTAATATTGACAAAGATAAAAGTGGGTTGGTACCACTGAACTAGCAAGCACAAGTCATGGAGGGAATTTTAAATTTTAAACAACCAAACATTACAATGATTAAAAAGAATTATAAAATATACAGTGAATGAAGGTAAAAAACACATTTTTTATATAAAATTATTGGAATTAAAAGGTGCCTGACTAAAAACAACAGAATTGAGCATGCCGACCCCAGCGAAACCGAAGTCGCAGGCAGACCAATTTTTCCAGCTATAAGAGGAGGAAAAACCGTCCTGGCCACGAAATAAGATATCACCGGAGAAGACAAGTTCAACTCCGCTGTACGAAGATTCGTGGAGAAGCTAGCTCTTAAAGAGAGGAAGCACTTTGCTATTGAGATGGATTTGAGTATTAACACATGCGACATTAGTTTTATTAAACTCTCGGTGTATCTCAAGATCTCCGAGCAGATTTACAGTGACATTCTCAGAAGGAGTAAAATTGTGATTATTGAATTTAATATGATGTCCAAAAGTAGACTTGTCTGTATATTTTATGTGTTCACCCGCTCGTATGTTGGTTTTCCCTATATAAGTAGTATTGCAATCGTTACAGTTTAATCTATAAATACCGCTTTTGTGTAGCAACTCGATTTCATCCTTAGTGTGTGACAGTTGGCTTTTAATCGAATTAAAATTTTTAAAAGAAATTTTAATAGGACAAAGGAAATTGCTCTTCTCTCTTTATAGTGTCTCTGATGATGGCCTAACAGGCTGAAAGCGCTAAGACTAATATTACTGAGTTTTATTATTAATGAAACTCTACCTACACACTTTAAATACTTTCGATTCATTTCTTATTACCCAGTGTGTACACACCACTCAACCTCTTCATAAAAAAATATATTTATATTTATAAAAAATATCTACTTTTACTTAAAGTAAAACAAATACTTATTTATAGTCGAAGCATTGAAGTAAAAAAAGTTTGGAATTTTTAGACTAAGACGGATCGGAAAGCGGTTTTTTGCATTCGTTTCCAAAACTATTTTGGAAAAAATGCCCCTACTTTTTATTTAATACAAACCGGAAATTCAATTTCTGCAGCCAAAAATGCATTTTTTGAGACGGCTTTTGGAAGATTAAAGAACTTTGTAAATAAGAGTCAGAACTGGCCCAAATCGGGTTGCCGGGGATTTTCGAGGTCGCTGATCACGATAATGATGTATAAATTGATTCACAGCCTACCTGGAGCTCAGGCTTCGGCAATCCAAAGTTTCACTTCAAAAACGATCCCCTGAATACCTGGTGCACCGGAACCTTGATGCGGACCTCATCTCCGTGAGTTTTCCTCACACAATTGAAAAAGACGAACCGAAAATCGTTATGGGGATTTTTTTGGGGCGCTGAATTCAAATGTGGCATCGGCGAACACCCCCTTGGACACCTGGTGCGCCCAAACCTGGACGTGGACGACATCCCCGAGAATATTCCTAAAAAGATGCCAAAAACAACCCGAAATCTATTGTAGGGTCGTTTTTTGGAGCGCTGAATCCAAATTTCACGTCGAAAACGACCCCCCGAAAACCTGGTGCAACGGAACCTGGACGCGGACCTCATCTCTGTGAGTTTTCCTCACACAATCGAAAAAGACGAACCAAAAATCGGTATGGGAGTTTTTTGGGGCGCTGAATTCAAATGTGGCATCGGCGAACCCCCCCCCCCTCCCCCCCGACATCTGGTGCACTCGCATCTGGACATTTTCGAGGGCCCCAGGCGAGAGTTATACATCAATGAATGTGTGAAATTATGAGACGATTTTTGGTTAATCTTTTGCAATCGTGTCTGGAAAACCCTCGCAGACGACGTTCAGTACGAGGTTCCGGTGCACCAAGTATTGGGAGGATCGTTTTCGACGTGAAATTCGGATTCAGTGCACCAGAAAACCCCCTATAACGATTTTGGGTGCGTCTTCTTCGATTGTGTGAGGAATTCAGCGACCCAAAGAATCCCCTAGCGCTGAGTTTCTCTCCTTTCCCGCATGAATTTCGGAAGAGTCCCACGGAGATGACGTTCATCGGCGTTTCTGAGCTCCAGGTCGGCTGTTGGCCAATTTGAACTTCATAATCGTGATCGGCGACCTCGAGAACCTCCGACAACCCGATTTGAGCCAGTTCTGACACTTTTTTACAAAGTTCTTTAATCTTCCAAAAGCCGTCTCAAAAAATGCATTTTTTAAATGCATTTTTGGCTGCAGCAATGCAATTTCCGGCTTGTATAAGATAAAAAGTAGAGGCATTTTTCCAAAATATTTTTGAAAGCGAATGCAAAAAAACGCAATTCGATCCGTCTTAGTCTAAAAAATTCCGAACTTTTGGCCTTTTTACTGCTTCATTGCTATTACCAGTACGCCTTAAGGTTTTACCATTAAAGCTATTGTTAAAAATGGGACAAATAAAAAAGTTATAAAAAAGTATATAAAAAATGATAAAAATTATAAAAATCGTTAAAAAAATAATTTTAAAAATAATGATAAAAATTAAAAATATTATTAAAAAATGATAAAAAAGAGCGATAAAAAATGATAAAAAAAAACGATAAAAAATGATAAATGATAAAAAATAATAAAAAATTATAAAAAATGATAAAAAAAATGATAAAAAAATGATAAAAAATGATAAAAAAAATGATAAAAAATTATAAAAAAATGATAAAAAATTATAAAAAAATGATAAAAAATTATAAAAAATAATGAAAAATTATAAAAAAGATACAAAATGATACAAAATGATACAAAATGATACAAAATGATACAAAATGATACAAAATGATACAAAATGATACAAAATGATACAAAATGATACAAAATGATACAAAATGATACAAAATGATACAAAATGATACAAAATGATACAAAATGATACAAAATGATACAAAATGATACAAAATGATACAAAATGATACAAAATGATACAAAATGATACAAAATGATACAAAATGATACAAAATGATACAAAATGATACAAAATGATACAAAATGATACAAAATGATACAAAATGATACAAAATGATACAAAATGATACAAAATGATACAAAATGATACAAAATGATACAAAATGATACAAAATGATACAAAATGATACAAAATGATACAAAATGATACAAAATGATACAAAATGATACAAAATGATACAAAATGATACAAAATGATACAAAATGATACAAAATGATACAAAATGATACAAAATGATACAAAATGATACAAAATGATACAAAATAATACAAAATGATACAAAATTATACAAAATTATACAAAATTATACAAAATGATACAAAATGATACAAAATGATAAAAAATTATAAAAAATTATAAAAAATGATACAAAATGATAAAAAATTATAAAAAATTATAAAAAATTATAAAAAATTATAAAAAATTATAAAAAATTATAAAAAATTATAAAAAATTATAAAAAATTATAAAAAATTATAAAAAATTATAAAAAATTATAAAAAATTATAAAAAATTATAAAAAATTATAAAAAATTATAAAAAATTATAAAAAATTATAAAAAATTATAAAAAATTATAAAAAATTATAAAAAATTATAAAAAATTATAAAAAATTATAAAAAATTATAAAAAATTATAAAAAATTATAAAAAATTATAAAAAATTATAAAAAATTATAAAAAATTATAAAAAATTATAAAAAATTATAAAAAATTATAAAAAATTATAAAAAATTATAAAAAATTATAAAAAATTATAAAAAATTATAAAAAATTATAAAAAATTATAAAAAATTATAAAAAATTATAAAAAATTATAAAAAATTATAAAAAATTATAAAAAATTATAAAAAATTATAAAAAATTATAAAAAATTATAAAAAATTATAAAAAATTATAAAAAATTATAAAAAATTATAAAAAATTATAAAAAATTATAAAAAATTATAAAAAATTTATATAAAAAATTATAAAAAATTATATAAAAAATTATAAAAAATTATAAAAAATTATAAAAAATTATAAAAAATTATAAAAAATTATAAAAAATTATAAAAAATTATAAAAAATTATAAAAAATTATAAAAAATTATAAAAAATTATAAAAAATTATAAAAAATTATAAAAAATTATAAAAAATTATAAAAAATTATAAAAAATTATAAAAAATTATAAAAAATTATAATAAATTATAAAAAATTATAAAAAATGATAAAAAAAGATAAAAAATTATTAAAAAAGATATTGATAAAAATGATAAGAAATCGATAACAATTATAAAATTATTTTGTAAATACATTTTTTTATTTATAGGGACCTCTAACTGGTGCAAGTATGAACACCGTTAGAACTTTCGCCCCAGCATTATGGCTTAATGATTTCAGGCACCAATGGGTAAGTTAGTTTTTATACACATATTATGCTAGTATAGTACATGCTTCTATGGAGTGACCCACAAACATATTTCTAAAGCAGGCCTGGGAAAAATTCACCTATGGCGGTGTCTTCTTTATAAATGTCAGTTTCGATTTAATTCGTATCTGTATCTTTGTCGCTCATGGCCTACTTTAGAAACACTTTTTGTGTATCACTCTTTATTTACAAAGAAGTTTATTATTACCTGTTCGATAAGAAGTCTGTTTTGTCTTTTCTAATGTGACCAGAATAGCCCTGCAGTTTATTTAACATGTTATTCTGACTTGGCATGATCATTGGAGTACTGTAAACAAACGAGTACCATTATAGAACCCCGCATGTATTTCCTTATGTAAAGTGGAGACCGGTCAAATTTTCTGAAACTTTGGTATGTTATTGTATTTAACCTAGAAACCAACTCAACTAGTTTTCGATGTTGTTAAAGTTGAAAATTTCCTAGTTTTTCGAAATTTTTATTTTCAAACTTACGATCTAGGTTGAATTTCTGTTGTATACACACATTGCTACATGTTTTAATAATACTTTAGTACATACGTATAATTAAAAATATTTTTAGTTACAGGGTGATTTACAAATATATGATGGTAGTTTTTCCAAAATCTCACTAATTTTACTGTGACGTCAGGGAAGCATATTTTTAAAAAATACTACACAATATGGTATTTTGGCAACAAAATAGTATACAATACATTTCCTCTACAGGGTGTTCTAATAGAAACAATCAGATTACTATGTATGTTTTAAATTCTTATGGTTACATACCTACCTAATGTAATGATATTAACTTACTCAACAGTCACTAAAAAAAATGCAAGATTGTATTTTTAATAGTTTTAAAACATAATTATTTTTTGGTAGTTGGCTGGAAAAACAAATTATTGAAATAATTTCTATGTGGCGCAACTATAGTTATTCATTGTTTGCAAAAATAAATTATTATTGTGATTTATTCGTGAACCATCCCCCGTAACAATTATTTTAAACCATTAGCGGCTTATGTCCAAAATATAGATATGTATTAGTAAAGATGTAGTTTTCGGTATAATATACCTTTCCATGCCTATACCTTTCTAAAACACTGAAAGATTTTTACCTACATCTGTACCGATATCTATATTCTGTCATTGTGAACTATTAATATTTTGGTTACGAGCCGAACTAATTTAAACTGTCCCTTGTATTGGACATCTCCCCATAACTTATATTTAATTTAAATATTCTATATAAAGACAATCTAGCTTTTCTGTTTAAAGAAAAAATAAATTTAAATCAACAATTCTCCACTTTAACGCTATGTATCTCGAAAACTAGTCATAGTATCGGATTTAAAATACATTACTCTTAAAATGGTGTTAAAGTTATTATATACCGAAAAAATGGTTACATTTGACCTAGGTAAGCTTAGAGTGTGTTTTTTGTACTTTTATTAAAATAGAATATCTTTCAAAAAATAAGCCGCCTTGTATATTGTGAAGCTTAGAGGTACGCATATTTTAGTGATATTACTTTTCCCAAAAAACAATTCATAAGTATAGGATTTTGAAGTAATCCTTAAAAAAAATAATTTTATTTTGTGATACTATAAGAAATGTATATTGTGCAATATGTGGTCGACAAAATACCATATCTAGTAGTATTTTTTGAAAAAATGATTCCCTGACGTCACTCTAGAATTAGTGAGTTTCTGCAAAAAAACCACCGTCACATTTGTAAATCACCCTGTAATTAAACATATTTTTAATTGTGCGCATGTAATAATATATTATAAAAATATTAAACGCATTAAATATGTGTATGCAACAGAAATTCAATCTAGCTCGTAAGTTGAAAAATAGAAATTTCGAAAAATTGGGCAATTTTTTTAGTATATCATAAAATTACGATAATTATGGTATGTCTTGCAACACTGCTCTCGCTGTTCACATGAGTCCTTATAATTTTAGTCGAGTGATATGCGCAGCAAGGCCAAATCGTGAGAAAGTACTCTCACACTCATTTTTCCATAGTTGAAGAGTAGGCTTTCAGAACAGGGTTTCTTATATGCGAACTCAACACATTATGTGTTGAATAGAGAGATTACAAAAAAATCGCATTCTGTCGATCGAAGATAGGTGTCTCGACATGTGCCATCTTAAAATATTGAAAGAAAATGTTCACTTTCTACTACCTTTTAAAATTCGTATTCTTGAAATCGAATTCATCAAAATTGGTGGAGAATTTTTTCTCAAAACTTTTTCCTACTTTTAGGTAGAGAACAAGCATGCGGAGTACACATCGGAATTTAAATTAAAATAAAATATAACCATAACCTCATTTATGTTGTTAGAAGTACCTTTATATATTTGCTTTTACCTTATTTTTAAAATGTATTTGGACGTGAAAATATTAACAATAACGTTTATTTATTCTGTAAGATATAAAAATGTACCTATACTTAAAATACTATAAATACTAAGAACACCCAATAAGATAAACTATTAACAACTATCTACAGATAAGCATTAGGCAAAATGACAAAAACATCGAGCAACTGTTTTAATTATAAAAGGTAGGGGAGAGTGCCCTACAGTGAGACAGGTCCCACAGTGAGACATTTACTATATCTCTCTGAAAAACTGTAATTGTTGGCAACGCTGTACAACAAACGAACCACCTCAATGCATTTACCCATCTCTTTAATCGAATGGTAACCTTGAAGGCGATAGTTACGTTCAATATCAGTGAGTGAATAACTGGTGAAAAAATCGAGTATAATAATATAATCTTTCGTCTCTGTTTATATGCTGGTAAGTACCATGGGTAACATCGTTAATTTTATTATGTCAGAATAACTTTGTAACAAACATTTTTACGTATAAATGTTCGAGTTAATGTTTAAGGTTATAGAAATACATTATGTTTTTATTAGGATATTACATTGTCCAACAGTGGGACAAAGTTGAGTGCCCTACAGTGAGACATGTCTCACTGTAGGACGCAAGTCAAATTCAGGATAAATAAATATCGTGCTTATTAAAATCTGGATTTGAAGATTTAATTTTTGTTTCAGAGCAAAGAATATGGACAAAGCAAAAAGAAAATTAAATAAACATGACGCACATGAGAGAAGCAGTAGCTATGGTAATAGCAGGACAGCCACTAAGAGAAGTTGGTCATATAAAAGGTATACCACATCAGACTTTACATCGCTATGTTAAAAAACAAAAAGAAGCTCCCGAGCCCATTTCTATGGTACCAAAATATGATGTAAGAAGAATATTTACAAAGAGGCAAGAGGATGTATTGGCAAACTACATGATCACCTGCGCAAAAATGTTTTACGGCCTACCTTTAATTGAATGTAGACAACTAGCCTACGAAATGGCAAGTATGAATGAAATTGATATGCCAGATACCTGGAAAATTCGAAGGCTTGCAGGGAAGAAATGGATGCGGGGTTTTATGAAGAGAAATCCTCGGCTATCATTAAGGACACCCTTCAGGTGCAGTTTAGCAAGAGCTGCAGCATTCAATGAAACCAATGTAAATTTGTTTTTTAATAAATTACATACATGTTATATGAGAAGTGAACACTTCAGTAACGGAACAAGGGTTTTAACCTAGATGAAACTGCTACCATCACACAACAAAAACACCATATAAAAATCCTAGCAGAAAGAGGCTCCAAACAAGTCAGCAAGATAACTTCTGGAGAAAAAGGAACCCTTGTAACAACGTGCATGATTGTAAGTGCAGCTGGAAATTGGTTACCACCTGCAATGGTATTTCCCAGAGTCAACTTTCACAGTCGTATGATCAATGGTGCACCACGAGGCACATTAGGTTTGGCAGCTAAGACGGGTTGGATGAACACCGATTTATTTATTGATGTAATGAAACATTTTAGTAAATGTAGTGGGTCCTCACATGCAAATCCTTCTATACTAATTTATGACAATCACGAGAGCCACATATCAATACATTGTATTGAATTGGCAAAAGAAAACGGTGTGACGCTTTTAACTTTTCCTCCCCATTCGACGCATAAGTTGCAACCATTAGATCTTGGAATTTTCGGGCCTTTTCAGAAGTTTTATAACGCTGCAGTGGATAGCTGGATGCTTCACAATCCTGGACATTCATTTAGTATATATAAAGTTGCGGCATCTGTTGAACAAGCACATGAAATAGTAATGACACCGGCAACAATAACGCATGCCTTTAAAAAGACTGGAATTATGCAATATGATCAAAACATTTTTACTGAAGATGACTTCCTAAGTAGCCAAGTAACCGAATAACCTTTAATTGAAGACAACAACAGTGAAAATTACCATTTAACCCAGACTAAAATTATTGAAATTATTGAAATCCAGACAACTACTGAAATTAATCAAATTCAGGAAACTGCTGCCGCTAATGCGATTCCAACCGTAGAAATTCATGAAATTCAGACAACTGCTGAAATGATTGAAATTTCTGACAAGGTTCCCAACTTCTGGTCAAAATAGTCAGATATAAACTCCACAAGAAAATTTGTCTCTTGAAATCCAGTCTACGCCAAGTACATCGAAACAACAATTAGTGGATCAGGAAAATCAACCAAAACTTAATTTTATCTCTCCCGATATATTTAGAGGATATCCACAGAAAACTGTCGACAAAGGAAAGATAAGGAAACAAAGAAAAAAAAGAAAATGTATGATAGCCACTCACACCCCAGAGAAAAATGAAATCGAAGAAAATTTTCTGGAAAGACAGAAAAAGTTGCAAAAGCAAAAAACAACTATACGAAATATTAGTCAAAGCTGTAAGACAAAAAAGACACCTCAGAACATAAAAAAAATGAAATACAACTCTAACACTTTAAAGGATTGTAGTGAAAAATCCAGTGATGAATTTTCCGATAAGGAAAATACTTCAGATGAATACGAATCTGATGAACGAGAAGATCTAGTTCTAAATAAGCAGAGGATTAC